GGAGAATTAAAATGGTCAAAGACCAAGGAGCATTTATAACTTGAGAAGACAGGGCTCCTTTCTGAGTCAGGCATGGACAATCAGTTGAATAGAGAATATCCAGGCAGTTTTAGTTTGGATAAAAGAGCATTTTATTCAGTACTTGCTGAGGACAGAGAGCACCTGCCATATGCTCTTTGAATGGTGATGACAATAAAACCTATTGCTTAGTGTGGTGACTTGCATGTAGTAGATACTCAGTAAATACCTGCTGAGTGAAAAGAAATACCTGTGTAAAATGGCGAATCAGGCCATCCATCCCATATTACCTGAATTACCAAAAGTGGGCTTAGGTAAAATGAGGTAATTTGAGGGAAGTCAAAATTTATCATCTAGATGAGCAGTTCTCAAATGTGAGGTCTCAAGACCCCTCCATATTTTTAAATGATTAAGGACCACAAAGAGCTTTTTATTTCTTAGATTATATCCATAGATATCTATCATATTGGAAATCATAACTGATAAATTTATAAAATATAAAAATAGGCAAATGCATATTCCATGAACTGTCAGAACAATAGCTGCTTCTTACATCATACAGCTTCTATAAAACTCCACTATACACTTGTAAGAAAGTGAGAATGAAAGTGGCAAACAACATCTTAGTGTTATCATGAAAATAATTTTGATCTGACGGATCCCTTGAAAGAGTTTTAGACATTCCAAACTACAGTTTGAGGATCTTGGATTTGGAGTTGTCAGAAGCATTAAGAATTTCTAGGAAGTCAAACAAAATTATTGAATATTAAATTACTTGTAAGACTTACTTGTAGCATATAGTCACATGATTTAGACATTTTTAATTATCAGGAGAGGAAGTTTAGTTTAGATTCTGTTCTATTTAAATATTCTGCTAATCAAGAGGAAAAATATCAATAGAAGATAGATCTTAATCTGTAAGTGAAAGAAGTTGCTTGCTGTTTCAGTTATTTTGTTTTTGTTTTTGGGCCCTTTCCAATAATTAAATACCATTTTCTTTTGTAAAGACTTTTTTGACCCTCCTATGACTAGATTGGTGTCATTGACCTCATTAAAAAGTCCAGTCTTTCCAATCAAACCCTTGCTAGACTTTGTATAAAACTGCATTTCATTGAAAAAGTGTCCAAATTGGGGTAATTTATTTGGAGAAAGAAGTTCAGGACACTGGCTTGGATAAGCAGGAGGTAGCCCTTGTCCTCTACCCTTCCTCAATGCCCTAGACACTGTACTTGACTTATTGCTCTGCACTCTCCAGAATGTACTTCACTAAACATTGCCTTCCCCTATGAAGCTGGCCATGGACAATATGGGGGTTAATCCAAAGACCTTGGGAATAAGGTGGGTGGAGGGGTGTGTTCTAGTGAGAGAAAGAAGCAAGTGGGCATGATGATAGCAAACGAATGGCCATGATCCAAGTGATGTCCGTCTTTGTGGGCCATGTTAAGGGGTTTGAATATGACTAAGTACAAGAGGAAACCATCGGAGAAGAGTTTTACACAGAGGAGTGGCATGGTCTGATTTATGCTTTTAAAATATTCCTGGTTGCTGTGTGGAAAATGAATTCTTACATGTCATGTTACAAATGCAGCTTGAAAATTATGTGATTAATCTCCTCGTCACCTGCAAAGCATTGGAGACATGAATGACATTATATGTACTGACGATAAAGGGTACTTTTCCTATCCCCAGCTGATAAATATATTTAACAAACTGTTCCTAGTTAAACAAAATGTACAATGTTTTCTTGTATCTAGGACATTTTTTCAAAAAGGATTTGTTTCTTTATGGTGATATTAATAACTAAAGAATTGAAAATGTACAATTCCAAAGCCTCTTGACAAGATAATAGCTTTTCAGTGGTTTAAAGGAGATTGTATTTTGTTCTATATGCATAAGTGATTACTATTTATTTCATTATAATCCAGCATATATATTGAATTTCCTACCCAGCAAGAGTTCTGTGAAGTTGCCTACCCTGAGCATTTAGTGAAGCCAGTTATTACATGAAGAATGAAATGACAGTAAGCAATATCAGAAAATGACCAAATAACTGCTTGATCGGGGGACTTTTTGACAGAACTGTATAGTAATAGAATATGTGTGTTTCCAGTTCTTTAAAATCTACTTTCTAAAAGAGTTTGGATTTTTTAAATCAACTTTAGTAATCAGACTTACATCTTTAATTGTGAACTGTTGAAACTCCTTGCAGTTCACATATTTGTAGCACCTGTAATTGTCAATTACATTCAAGCACCATGACAAGTACAATATACTGCATTATCTCATTCAAACCTCACACACACACACACGGAAAATCCTATGAATATGGGGCTTTTATTTCTTCCATTTTGTGGATGAGAAATCTGAAGCTTGGAAACACTCCAAGGTCACATAGCTGAATATTGACAGAGATGCTTTATATTGCCTTTGATTTATGAATTTAAAAAAACACATGTAAAAGGGTAGTTGTTCATTGAACACAAAATGGAGACAAATAGAAGTGAAGGGTACTGGAAATAACATTGCATTGCTGAGACTAATACTTGAATATTCTTTCCTATGTTGCCCCCTGGGTGTGAGACTAGATGAAGTATCTAATGGGCAGGGGGAGGAATTGTCAACTGGTTTTATCGTGTTGGACAAAATGTAAAATGGTCTGAATGAAACCTTTAGAACCCAGCTCTTATTTCCATTTTAGCACTAGGTCACCAAAGTGATGAGGTTTAGTAAATCTTAACATTTTGGGAGTGAAGAAACTGAATAAGAATCTAACAAAAGTTATGTAACATGACGCAGCACATATAAATTCAAAATGTCCACTAATATGAGGCTATCTAGAAAATTAATGTAGTCTACAGTCACACCACCCTGAACACGCCCAATCTCATCTGATGTTGGAAGCTAAACAGGGTCGGGCCTGGTTAGTACTTGGATGGGAGAAAATTATTATAGAACCTTCACTATGTAACATATAGAACAGTACAATATGATAATTCATAGTCCTGTATATATATGACTGTTAAAAAGAATAAGGCAGATCCTTCTTGAAAAAACAAGGCATGTACAGGTCATATTATTGGGTAGTAAATAGTATATTAAAGATTGTGTTTAATTTCAGTGTTTTAAGTTGTTAACATTGGAGATTAAATTATGAAGAACCTTACCTTTTCCTCCTATAAACACTGCTGTATTGGTTGAATTTTTATAAATGGCACGTTTTGACTGAATTAATGATTACAATCAATTTGACCTAAATTCTAAACTAAAGGTCAGATTTCTGCCACCTTCCTCTCTGTTACCTGTATGTTTCTAAATGTTGTAAATATCTTTTAATCAAAGACTTTAAATTGTTTATTCCTGATACATTTCTATACTAACCAAATAAAATAGATGAATAAGCAGTTGTCAACTGGACATTCAAACTTCTTTAAAAATCAACTCTAGGACTGTTTTTGTTTCATAATTCACTTGGGTAGAGTACCACAGCTCAGGGAAAGCAAACCAGAGAAGAAAGGATTTTCCCTGAAATATACAGATAACGACCTCATTATCTATTTTAATTTGAAAACATAGAGGGAGTCTGAGTTCTCCATTACTCAAATTCTATTTGAAGAAACCAAAATTAATAAATCATAGCTTAGTGAGCACAGCAATGCCTCTTTGCAAGTCATTGTAAGGGTTTCGTAGAGTTTTACTTCCCTTTTACTCCAGATCATACCTTGGCCTTTGTAAACTATTCCTTTTTAATCACCTTAGAGTCCACAGTTTCATGTTGAAATGTCTATCTGTGTAAATCCAAACTGTAGGGAGGAGTGAAATTTGAAAAGATCCTTCTTAAAAGTGCAATACACTTTCAATAAATTGGATAAATATCTTTCTGGCACATGGAAATGGGAGCTACATGTTGGGGGTGAGGGGAGAACAGTAATTTTCCAGCCTTATCTTCACATGTCTGAGTGCAATTAATACTGTAGAAAAGAGTATTGTTTGCAGTAATCTTGATTGCATTTTCCAGTGTCTAGCTCACTCCCTGTGCTCGATATTTATTACTACTGTCTTCAAAATAAAAAAAAAAAAAAATCATTGTCTCTAATGGTAAAGTGGAGAGGACAAAAAGTAATGAAAATTTCCTCTTATGAAAAACAAAGTTCCTCCTATGGAGACAATAAACTTTAAGACACTTAATGCATAAGCAAATCAAGGAGCAATGCCTCTGTTGTGTTGAAAAGCAGAAGTATAGCACTTTGTGTTTCACTTAGATTTTTTCTTTTTAAAGAAAACATTTTTAGCACATGCATGCTGTTGTTGCAAGCCTTGGAGATGAAACAGTTTCTGATTCAACCAAGGTTAAGAAAAAAAATGTCTGGGAAAATGATTCTGGCTGCCTGGAAAATGCCATTTAACTGAAGATATGGAGTTCATCTCTTGAGTCTGGCATATGGGAATGTAGGTACAGTCATCTCAATGTCCACTAACCTTCCTGGAAACAAATAGCATCATTTGAATCCCTGAGGCTCTCCTGGAAAAATATGTGTGTACTAGATTGTTTTATATTTCTGTTTGCTTTGCTGTTGGATAAATGCTAGTAATGACCTTTTTTCTCAATAAAGGTATCCTAGATACATGGATCCTTGTCACCTTCTACAATTGAGTCTTACATTTTAGATCCACTCTCTCTATTCCCCCTTTGCAAACTGAAGACATCAAACTTTTTCTTGACTTAAGCAACCTGAGTCCAATTGCTGGAGCTTTCTCTCAGTTCTCACCATGATGTGCATATTTCCCAGGTCTGTTCTCAATCCCCACTTAGAATTTGTCTGCCTTTTCTACCCCAAATAGATCCTAAACCTGAGACTCTGGGAAGGCAGATTCTCTCCCCAGATTTTGATGACAGCGTAATGTGCCTTGTCAGGTGCTGGTGGCATAAAGGAGAATCTTATTCCAATCAGCGTGAGTTTTTAGGCCCAATTTTGAATCATCCATAAGCCAGTGGAGCAATGGAACAATGGCCACAGTTCTCATACATTCGTCCTATGACAACTGTCCTATGGAGAAAGGACTGAAAGTAACAAGTGAGAGTCAGTTGCTAGAAGGCCATTAGAAAAGCTCTCAATGGTGCAAGAAGTCAGCAAATATGTGACTGATACAAACAATTGATAGCATTGAATTTTTTTTTTTTTTTTTGTATGGGAGGTTAAGAGCAAGAGCTTTGGGGTCATACAGACTCCATTTCAAGGCCCTACTTCAAAAACTCTCCTTGCTCCTACAATTAACATGCAATAACTTAATAGTAACCACTTGATCAAATTTGAATGTTTCAGTGAGATAATATATGAAAACATTTGGCATGGTGCCTGGCCTAGTATATGCTCAATGAATGTCAATCACTGATTGGCATCCAGCAGTAGAAGTGAAATCACCATCATCATTCTAAATAGCATCACCAAATACCATGCTTCGGGTACAGTAAGAAAACCGGTGGAAGGAACAGAGAAGGATTTGTCTTTTTCAACCTTCCAGATAATCTGCACACTCATTCCCCATAGTTCATTGTCTCCCCATCCGTTTCTAATGGCTGGCACATGAAGTTCAATAAATCTCTACTGAATTAATGAAAAACTTGAGCATAATGGAGAAGTCAGTGGCTTGGAAAACGTGGAAATGAAATTTGGGTCATAAGTAAAACAACTAAGATCTGGTATCAGAAAACCTGAGTGCTAAGTTTTCCTCTACTCTGTGCCAACAGGTGATCTTTAGTGATTCTTTTGAGATAGCTGAGCTCCAGCTTCCCTATCTGCATAATGTGTGTTGGGGGGGTTACCTGGGAGAAAAATGAGATGCAGTGTGTGACAGTGCTATGTAAATTCTCAGGATTTTGTAGTGATTTATGTTGTGAATCATGTACGCTGAGTAAGAGTGTATGTGTGTATCTGTAACTGCACACACAAACACACTTATTACACATATACACACACATATGGCTGGCTAAAAACAAGGCAATCTAAAATCAGGTAAGTGCCAATAGTTCATATTGGGAAGAGATGGATAAAAATGGAGCAAAAGGATTAAAGTTCCTGTCGACTGGTAAACAAAATTGAAACAGGGCCTATGAAAAATAATCAGGTAAAGAGAAAACATACTCAGCGCTACAATTTACCAATTGCCCTCTGATCTTGAATTCCAGCTATCAGAAATTCAATGACAGCAGTCTGCTCCCCAACACCTTAATCCTTCCCACATTTGCTCCTGGGCTGGATCACTGCCCTTGGGACATGTCATTTCGTGGGAGCGTTAGTCCTGTTTTCTTCCACACCTAGTAAACGGTTTTGTCAATAATTTCAAAGGTCTTATTATCAGATGACCATAATAGTGTGGTGCTACCTAAAGATAAATCTGTGCTTTGTTTTACCTAATGTCTCACTTTCTATTAAAAAATCAGACCACAGTTATCACAATTTCACAACATGATATAGTCAGGTTCATTTACCCTTTACTTGTTTCTGAGGCAAATGTTAGAATAACCCAGGACAAGATTTGGAAATTAGCAAGTTTTTAATGGCTTTCTATCGGTCATTTCACAGGGATTCAACTCTATCACTGCTGGGTACCTTGTACAATGCCAAATTCACATCCTTCAAGGTGGTAGCAGAATGACCATTGGTTTAGAATCTTATTCAGTATATAGACTATCAGTCTACCATTAGATGAGATGGCACGGGAAAGCTGGCTTGGGTCATTTGCTTAGAAAAATTCAGCTGAAATCTAAGGATGCTGTAATTTTTAAAGCAGAGAGGCAGACATGTGCAGTACTTGCCAGTGTAGGCTCCTTCTACACTGCTTACATTCCTGACTCATCTCTGCTGTCTTCTAGCCACATGACCTCAGGCAAGGTCATTATCCTTTCCAAGCCTCAGTTTCCTCTTCTGTAAAATGGTAATAGCAATCATACCCACTGAAGAGAGTTGTTATGAGAATTAAATTAGATACAAGTAGGTAAAGAACCTAGCACAATGCCTAGGTTGAAAAATGTTGGTGGTTGTTATTACAAATATTTCTATCAATAAAGCAATGCCACTTGTCTTCCATCAGTCCCTGGATAGTTGCATTTAATATTACTCCAGGCCCTACAAACATAACTTAAAACTATGACGACTCAGTAGTTTGTTTAACTTAATTGAAAAATCAGTGCAATGTTTTAAATGACTCCATTTAAACATTGGTACATTTTTTTCTTTAAGAAACCACTCTAAAATGGAGGCCTTTCATTGATAGACACAATGCAGCAAAACCCAGTGAAATTCAATTACCTCTTGATTGGGTCGGGCAAGCCAAGAAGAGAATTTTACATTTGAAATTAACAAATTGAATTTGGTACCTTTTGCATCTTCAGCAATTTCTCCCTGACTAGTTCCTCACAAGATCAGAGGTGGCCCCGTCAGCATCCATATTCTGTTGAATGACATGCTCTGTTTAGAAAATTTTTTCCTTGTTTAGATTCTGAATGAGTATTTGCTTCCAAAGTTATTACAGCTACAAAACGTATGCTGACTATACACTTTCCCCCAAAATACAAAATATATGTATTTATACATATATGTAATTGTTGCTTAAAAGAACTTATATATAATATATAAATAAATATATATGTATTTATACATATATATGCCTTTTGCTTATAAGAACTTATAAAGTTCTTATATATAAGCTCTTTTAAGCTATAGTTATATATATGTGTATATACATATGTGTATATATATCTATATATAGATACACACAAGATATATACATACGTATGTGTGTATATATACAAATAAGTGTGTGTGTATCTATACATAGATACATACACATATATATATATATTTATTTTTTTTTTTATCCGAGTATGGCTGGTAGGCTAAATATCCAGCTACACATCATCAGTATTAATAAGATCTTTTAGTAATTTTTTTTGCCTTATACAGATAAGCACAATTAACAATTTCTTTAAGTCAACATGATAAGTCAGCAATAGGCAAAATATTGCTATTCGGCTGACTGCATATTTTTAAAAATATTTTATTCTCTCCCTGCCCACTGTCCCCACCACACACAAAGATTGCAGACCTAGTTTGTGCATGTCAGCTGAAGGAATAGGTGCATTGGAGACATGCTGATCCTGGGGTGCAGCCTGGCACCTGGAAAGCATCAGGTGCAGATAATTGCAACAGGTGACATGGTTTTTTTGTTTTACATACTGTTTATTCTAAGAAGATCTTTCTAATCTTTGTCTGAAGATTAAGGCCAAAATCTATAATTTGGCCACCTGGCCAACAAGGCCCCACAATGGGGGCCCCCAGCTACTTTTCCACCCCATCCTGCACCACCATTCCCTTTCCCACCCTCTTCCAGTTTCCCAAGCCACATTGTATTCCCCCATGTGTTACACCCTTTGCCTATGCAGGAGCTTGGTACATGTTCTTTCCTCTTTTCTAAGCTTTATTGGGACATCATTCACATACCATACAATTTGCCCATTTAAACTGTACAATTCTCCCATCCTCCACCCAGTCCTAAGCAAACACTAACCTGCTTTTTGTCTCCATAGATTTATCTATTCTAAACATTTTATAGAAATGGAATCATAGAATATGTGGTCTTTTGTGACTAGCTTCTTTCACTGAGCGTAATGTTTTCAAGACTTATCCATGTCGTAACATGTATCAGTACTTTATTTTTATTAACAAATAATATTCTGTTGTATGAATAAACTACATCTTATTTATTCATTCATCAGTTAATAGACATTTCAGTTGTTTCTCCTGTTTGGCTATTATGAATAATGCTGTATGAACACTCTTGTACAAGATTTTGTATTGACAAATGTTATCATTTCTCTTGGGTATGTATCTAGGAGTGGAATTGCTGGAATGGAGTCATATTATAACTCTATATTTAACTACCTGAAGAACTGCCAGACTGTTTTCCAAAGTGACTGCACCATTTTACCTTCTCCCCAGCAACATGTGAAAGTTCCCATTTCTCTATATCCTTACCAACATTTTTAATTCCAATCTTATAATCTTTCTTTTTGTAGTCACCCTAGTGGATGTGAAGTAGTATCTCATTGTGCTTTCTTTCTTAACTTTTGATCTGGGTAATTCCTATTATCTTTAAAGCTCCAGCCTAAAAGTCACTTACATAGGGAATCTTACCTTGGCTACCCCACCCCCAGACTAGCCTCAGGTTCCTTTCAGAAAACCCATCTTTTCTCTCTAAACTTTAAGTTCAACATGGACAGGCACCATTCCAGCTCTTCTTTATTCCCCACTGTAGCCCCAGCATTTATTTATTTATTTATTTATTTATTTATTTATTTATTTATCTTGAGACGGAGTTTGGTTCTTGTTGACCAGACTGGAGTGCAATGGCCCGGTCTCGGCTCACTGAAACCTCTGCCTCCCGGGTTCAAGTGATTCTCCTGCCTCAGTCTCCCGAGTAGCTGGGATTACAGGTGCCTGCCACCACGTCTAGCTAATTTTTGTATTTTTAGTAGAGATGAGGTTTCACCATGTCCGTCAGGCTGGTCTCAAACTCCTGACCTCAAGCAGTCTGCCTCAGCCTCCCAAAGTGCTGTGATTATAGGCCTGAGCCACTGCACCCGGCCGCATCTAGCTATTATGTGAACTATAAAGTCGTTGAAAGCATATTAAGTCAATGCCACATTTTTTTAAATAGTGAGAAAAAGTGTGTATTATCTGAAAATCACCTGCATCAGAATAATTGACATGATTACCTTTAAATCTATTTCATTTTTCAGTATTTCTACAGGCAAAACTGTTGAAGAATATTCTAATATCACTGGCAAGGGTGGGAAAGGGGCTCTACAATATAACCACAATGGATGCTTCTGTTGTCCTGAATTTTGTTGGAGCTGTACACATTTATGTTTGTTAAGAAAGTCGGGCGCGGTGGCTCACGTCTGTAATCCCAGCACTTTGGGAGGCCGAGGCGGGCGGATCACGAGGTCAGGAGATTGAGACCATCCTGGCTAACACGGTGAAACCCCGTCTCTACTAAAAATACAAAAAAACTAGCTGGGCGAGGTGGTGCGCTCCTGTAGTCTCAGCTACTTGGAGGCTGAGGTAGGAGAATGGCGTGAACCCGGGAGGCGGAGCTTCCAGTGAGCCGAGATCGAGCCAATGCACTCCAGCCTGGGCCACAAAGCGAGACTCTGTCTTAAAAAAAAAAAAAAAAAAAAAAAAAAAAAAAAAAAAAAAAAAAGAGAGAGAGAAAGAAAGAGAGAGAGAGAGAGAGACAGAGAGAGAGAGAGAGAGAGAGAAAGAAAGAAAGAAAGAAAGAAAGAAAGAAAGAAAGAAAGAGAAAGAAAGAGAAAGAAAGGAAGGAAGGAAGGAAGGAAGGAAGGAAGGAAGGAATGAAGGAAGGGGATTTTTGTGGGAAAGTGCAATATACAGTACAAGCAAAAACAAATGGACTTGAGAAATAAGGAACTGAAGGGGACTGGATTTTCCTGCTTTAGCTGTGAGCTAGGCATACCCCTAGAGCTTTCAATTCAGTAGATCTGAGATGGGGCCCAGGAATATACATTTTTAACATAGTCCCTAGTAATTCTAATGTCAGAGGTCCATAAGCTTCACTTTAAAAGTAAATATATCCTAGTTAATGTCTTCATTATTTAACATAAACAAGTTTAAAAATCAGGCTCCGGAGTTTGATGCAGATTTAAACCCCTGGACTGACATTTACTAACTATGTGGCTTAGAACGAATTACTTAATCTTTCTAAGCCTTAGTTTCTGGCCCATAAGAAATACCCCAATATGTTCATTGCTATTATTATGTTATTATCATTATTATCTTAATTGGAAGATGATGTGCACAACGAATCTGTTGTTTTTTTTTTTTCTTTTCTATGTCAACTTTTATTTTAGATATGGGGGTACATGTGCAGGTGTGTTACCTGGGAATATTGCACCCAGGCAGTGAGCATAGTACCCAATAGGTAGCTTTTCAACCCATGTCCTCTTCCCTCCCCACTCTAGTACTCTGCAGTGTCTATTGTTCCCATGTTTATGTCCGTGTGTGCTTCATGTTTAGCTCTTACTGATAAGCAAGAACATGCATATTTAGTTTTTGTCCCTGCCTTAGTTTGCTTAGGATTATGGCCTCCAACTCCATTCATGATACTGTAAATAACGTAATTTCATTCTTTTTTTACAGCTACATAGTATTCTGTGGCATATATGTACCACATTTTCTTTATGTAATCAACCATTGATGGGCACCTAAGTTGATTCTATGTCTGTGCTATTGTAAAGTAGCATGGCCATGAACATGCAAGTGCATGGGTCTTTTTAGTATAATGATCTATTTTCCTTTGGGTATATACCCAGTAATGGGATTGCTGGGTCAAATAGTAGCTCTGTTTTAAGTTCTTTGAGAAATCTCCAAAGTGCTCTCCATGGTGGCTAAGTGCATAAGTGTTCCCTTTTCTCTGCAGTCTTGTCAGCATCTGTTGGTTTTGACTTTTTAAGAATAGTCATCCTGACTGGTGTGAGATGTTATCTCATCATGGTTTTGATTTGCATGTCTCTGATGATTAGTGAAGATGAGTATTTTTTAATGCTTTTTGGGCCACTTCTATGTCTTTTCTGTTTGTTTGTTTGTTTTGTTTTTTTGAGACGGAGTTTCACTCTTGTTGCCCAGGCTGGAGTACGATGGTGCGATCTCGGCTCACGGCAACCTCTGCCTCCCGGGTTCAACCGATTCTCCTGCCTCAGCCTCCCGAGTAGCTGGGATTACAGGCATGCGCCACCACGCCCGTCTAATTTTATAATTTTAGTAAAGATGGGGTTTCTCCATGTTGGTCAGTCTGGTCTCGATCTCCCAACCTCAGGTGATCCGCCCCACCTCGGCTTCCCAAAGTGTTTGGATTACAGGCATGAGCCACCATGCCCAGTCCTATGTCTTTTTTTGAGAAGTGTCTATGTCTTTTGCTCATTTTTAATGGGGGCTGTTCATTTCTTTCTTGTTGATTTGTTTAAGTTCTTTATAGGTTATGGATATTGGACCTTTGTCAGATGCGTAATTTGTGAATATTTTCTCCGGTCCTGTAGGTCTTTTCATGATTTCTTTTCCTGTGCAGAAACTCTTCAGTTTAATTAGGTCCCACTTACCAATTTTTGTTTTTGTAGCATTTGCTTTTGGGGACTTAGCCAAAAATTATTTGCCAAGACCAATGTTGAGAAGGGTAGTTCCTAGGTTTTCTTCCAGGATTTTTATAGTTTGAAGTCTTACATTTAAATCTGTAATCCATCTTGAGTTAATTTTTTTATATGATGAAAGGTAAGAGTCCAGTTTCATTCATTCTTCTTCATATAGCTAACCATTTATCCCAGCACCATGTACTGAGTAGGGAGTTCTTTTTCCATTGCTTGTTTTTGTCAGCCTTGT